TCATCCTCCTCCTCATCATCATCATCCTCATCCTCCTATTCCTTGTCCTACTGCTCCTCTTCCTTCATACTCCTCTTCTTCCGCCGCCTCCCCCCTTCCTCTTTACCCCCTTCTCGTCATCATCCCCCTACTTATTCTACTCCTCCTCGTCCTCAGGTTCCTCCTCTTCGTTAACCTCCCCCCCCCGTGACCTGGCATTCGGGGCCCATGTCTCCTTCCGCTTTCATCAGTTTCCCTTTTCTTTGCCACCCCCTCCCTCGCCCTCCTTTCGTTCGGCGATGCAGCAGCCAAAGGAAGAAGAAGAAGAAGATGAAGAAGAAGAAGAAGAAGGATACTAAGAAGAAATATAAAGTGAAGAGACGGAGGAGGAGAGAACGGCCTCAACGGCCGCGGCCAGCCTCTAGGGCAAGCGATCGCCACGGCCGAAGCCAAGGCCCACCCGCCCTCAGGACGACCAGCGCGGCCGCGCCGCCCGCGCGGCCCGCGCCTGGCGGATGGGCGCGCGGAAGGCCCAGGCAGATCCGAGCCCCTGCGGCCACCAGACCCGAAGACGGCGGCGTAGAGCCTCTGGCACGGGTAGCGGGCGTGCTTTTCCGGCTCCCGCTCTCGCCCTCTCGCCGCGAGGCCAGCTGTCGCGGCCCTGCCGCGGCCGCCAGGGCCTGCGAGCGCCAGGGCTTCGACGACGAGGACGGCACGCCGTATGCCCTCCCTCCCTCCCCCTCCCTCCCTCACCCCTCCGTCGCCTCGTCCTCCTCGGCCTCCCTCCACAATTACTCAATATGAATATACTCTCCCTCTTCCCCTGATGGCGTCCGGGTGATGGCCGCGCACCCTCCGCGTACACAAGATGCCCGGGAAATCCCGGGAAACGACTCTCGCTGAGGCGCCGGCGTCATTTTTTTCCCAAAATACTGCTCTCGTTGAGGCGCCGGCCTCATTTCGGCTCCCGAATCGTTCCGAATCGTGCTCCCGCTGCAGCGTGGGCCTCATTTTCGGATCGGTGTTTGGCCTCCGTCGTCCAGGATGGCGTTCTCGCCCCAGCGCGGGCCTTTTTCTCGCGCGCCCATCCGCCCGCCACCACCGCGCCGCACCACCACCACCACCACCACCACCACCACCACCACAACCAGCACCAGCGCCAGTACCAACACCACCACCACCCAGCACCACCACCACCACCACCAGCACCACCACCACCACCACCACCACCACCACCACCACCACCACCACCACCACCACCACGACAACCACGCACACACGCACGCACGCACGCACGTGCACCACCACCCACTACGCACGCGCGCGCGGAGCCACAGGTCCGCTACGACACACGTCCGCGGATAGAGAAAATCAGCGCCATGGTAAGGGATGGGAGGGAGGGGTAGGACGTCAGATATGACGCGAGCGCACCTAGCTTGCCCACCCACCCTCCCCCCGTACCCCGTCCGCTCTGCCCCCCCTCTCCGCCCCCGCGCCGGGCAGCGCGCCTCCCTCTCGCGCTGTCTGGCGTGCTCCAACTGTTCCGACAAGTGCCCGATGGCGGCCACGACGTCCGCGTGCTCCTGCCGCCACGGCCCTACTACTGATCATCCTCATCCCCCTCCTCGCAGTTTCCTTCTCATCATCATCCTCTTCTTCCTCCTCCTCCTCCTCCTCCTCCTCCTCCTCCTCCTCCTCATCATCATCATCATCATCATCATCATCATCATCATCATCATCATCATCCTCATCCTCTTCCTATTTGTAACATTTTTCTTACTACTATTCGATTAGTATCAGTACTATTATTACCATTAATATGATTCGTGTTGTCATTGATATGTTTCTTGTTGACATTATTATGTGTCTTCTCATCATTAAGATTATGATGATTGAGATGTTTATTGTGAGTATGAGTGTTCTGACTGTTATTACGATGATTGGTACTATTCTTATTTTGAATATTACTAATAGTATTCCTATTATTATTTTTTTCCCTCGTCCTCGTCCTCCTCTTCCTCCTCCTCCTTCTCCTCCTCCTCATCATCATCACCATCATCGTCATCGTCATCATCATCACCACCATCATCATCATCATCATAATCATCATCATCACCACCATCGTCATCATCATCGTCGTCGTCATAATGTTCATCAGCATCATCATCAGCAGCAGCATACTCATCAGCATCATCAACATGATCAGAATCAGCATCACCATCATCAGCAACAGCAGCATCAGCATCAACAACATCATCAACGTCATCATCAGCAGCATCATCAGCATCAGTATCAGCATCAGCATCATCAGCATCACCACCATGATCATCATCATTTATACCACCATCATCATCATCATCATCATCATCATCAGCAGCATCATCATCCGCATCAGCATCAGCATCATTATTGCCATCATCATATTTATCATCGTCATCCACATCATCATCAACATCATCATCGGCATCATCAGCATAATCCCCTTCATCCTCATCATCACCAGCAGCATCATCATCACATTCATATAACCCTCGATGCTACTAAACAAGAGCATCACCATAATCATCGCATTATACAGTATAGCCACCATCACATCGACATCGCCATGATCCTCATGATCATCAGCGTCATCATCAACATAATCAGCATCATCATCATCAGCAGCAGCATCATCATCATCATCAGCAGCATCATCATCAGCATCGGCAGCAGCAATAGCAACACATGTTCACCGTCGCCATCATCCTCATCATCACCATCATCCCACCTGCGTCACCCAGCCAGCCCAGGCCCCCCACATGCGCGTTCGCCGTCATTTGCCTCGTCATCCACCCCTCCATCTTCGCTCTACGGCTCTCTTTCTCTCTCTCTCTCTCTCTCATTCTCGTTCTCTCTCTCTCTCTCTCTCTCTGATTTCTAGGCCGCCCGTATTGCAGCAAGGCACAACCGCATGCGAGCCAAGGACGGTGGTAGGGCCAAAAGCCAGCGGGTCAAAGCCACAGACAACTCTAGCACCTCTTACCTGCGAGCGCCATACAATACCCCCACCCCCCACCCACCCCGCATGCCACCAGACAAGTGGACCTGCATCGGCAAAGGGGCAAGGGACCAACTGGTGAGGCTCTACAAGCGCATGACCTAACAGGGTCCAATGCGTGGCCACCACGCTTACAACCACAGCGCGAAGATACCTCAACCGACATCCCCTCCGACTCGGTCTCGGACAGCTCGGAAGACACGCACTACCAATACCAAGTCCCAGCCTCCCTGGGCAAACCGAACAACACCCTCGCTGACACCAACGCCGTGATCAAACTCATAACGGACACCTGGGAAACAACACTGGGGCAAGTCCGCAATACGCGGGCCAGCACTGACGAAGCAATCCCAAAGTGGGCCCGTTTCCAAGACGGAGTACCACCAGGAACTCCCCGACCCAGCCCCCGCCCAGACGCTTGTCCTTGGCGACGAGGCTCATGCATTTTCTCCACACCCGCCCTGCTGCCAGAGCGGGCGGCATGGGTGGTTGAACCACAAACGAAGCCAAGACGCTCTAAGACGGGGTCCTCTGGCTGTTCGCCAGAGCGCTGCGAAATGTGCAGCGCACTGGGAGGGCGCCAGAACCACTCCTGCACAGACCGAGCCCATGTCTCTAAAAAGGTAAAGGAAGGCTCCCGACAGACCAACGCCTACTCTCAGTTATGGTCATATGGGTGTACGCATGGGAGGCACCAGCCTACAGCAGACTTGCATCATGGAGGGCGCACTGGACACACCCTACAAACTCCGGGGCGGTTCCACACGCCACTATCAGCGACGTCAGCACCAAGCTTGCGCTAAAGGAGGAGAACGCCCGGCACCTGAAAGCGCCGATCGCGGGCGCGGCGCTGGATAGGCAAAATGCTTCGAATACCCAGTCACGGACATCTGCCTCAAACTCGCATTACATGCAGGATGTCCACCAAATATTGCCCAAGTCAGAAGGCATGTCTGCACCAACCACCCACGATACATCCGCACGGGAAGAGCATACTTGCGATCCCTGGCACGCACCAGCGGCGACCTCTAAGGCAGCTCCTTCTCGACGACATCAAACGCGACAGTGCCAGCACGCGCCGCGATCCCTCCGCACCACGTTCGTAAACGTCACCGACTCCACAGCCCCCACGGCCAGGGAACTGGAAAAATCGCTTGACGAAACTGTCGCTTTTGACCGCGTCGTGGGCCAAAAAATCCACCCAGGGAAGGCGGCGGGCTGGGAGGGGCTCCACCACTAGGCGGCAGCCCTCACGCTTAACGGCCGCCCCCACCAAAGCTCACCACCAGGTGAAGCCTGTGGGGGCTACATCAAAGATGCACCAGCAGCGGAGGGAGCGGACCCCAACCACGCCGCCACTGCCGACGCCCGAGTTCGCCGAGCGGCGGCCAGACATCGGCCGCCTCCCTGAAGGTACCCACGCAAGAGCTGGCTCCGCAAGGTCCGCGGTGGCAAGTATGTGCGCCGCAGGTACCGACATCCAAGCCCCCAGCGCGAAAGCGCGCAACCTTTACAACAAACGCTGTTTGCCGCCATCCGCCCCAAAGGACGCCCATGAGTATCCCAGGGGGCCCTATACGCCATCACAGTTCGAACCGTGACACCGCGGTGTCGCATGTGTCACCGTGGCGCCACGCGTGCGGTCTTTCCCGATCCCTACTCATTCCTGAACCGAGCTCTTCGAGGACAGGGAACAAATAAAAACGGGGACCCCTTGAGAAGACTTGAGGGAAGCGTAACGAATGCTTGAGACCCGCCCGCTCCCTTAATTATACCTTGCTTTGCTATGTGCTCGTGTTCCCTTCTTTCTCGACGGCCTGATCCTTCTTTGCCGCCCTCCTGGGCTGGGCGATTCGGGGATGGCGGGCCTGGGGTCGCTCTAGCTTTAGGTCGTGTCCCCCTGCAGGAAAGTCCCCTGACTATTGTTGGACTAGCTTCGAATTCCCCATGCAGAGGGACAGGCCCAACTTAACTCTAGTTTTTACCCCCCCCCCATTCGCTGTCACAGCCTCAGGTCTCAAAACCGACTCCTGCCAGAACTATTCGAACCTCCCCCCCACATGAACCGCAAACTTAGGGCCAATCCAACACACCTCAATTGGAAATCTCTGCCTTAGAAAAGCGCTTTCCTGCCCCGTCTTCCCCCCCCCCCCCCTTCAGACCCCTCATCCTGCTGTCCCTCTACCCCTGGTGTTCCTCCTCCGCGCGGGAGGGTCTCCTTGTCTGCCCCCCCGCCACTCCCCTTTTCGTGCTCTTCCATGCCCTCTGCAGGTTCCCCTGCCCGGACCCATGACCGCTTAGATCGCCACCTCAGCTCCCCTCGGAAACTGGACTTGGGCGGGGTGGGAGGGGTGCGGGGATCTTTCGATGCATTACTTTGGATGTACCAGGCTATCCGTGCCTCTAAGCCGGTACGCGACGTCGAATCGGAATGCCTGACCACACCGCCCCAGACGGGCAAATCCTGCACTCCCCCCTCCTTGGACCTGGCGAATAATTGCCCACTATCCCGCCCAAAGCTGAGTGCTGCTTTTGACGGGCCCTGGGATCTCACTCCCGGCGAGGGCCTGCACTGCGGGTCACAGCTCTCTGCTGCTCCGGAGGTGGGCCCAGCACGTGTTCGACTGGCGTGTGTTCTGTTATGGGGGCTCAGTTCTGTCTAGGGTTAGGTCGGGCGTGTCCTCCTACAGGAGGACTCTGGAGGAATTAAACTCAATCAAAAAATGCCCCAAAATGGTCAAAACTAATCCAAAAATCGTCCCCATACTATTTTGTTGACTATGTTTGAGTACTCCTCCTGTAGAGGGACATGCCCGACTTAAGTCTAGGGTTGGGGACTGTAGACCCTGTCCTTGCCCCTTCCCTCCCCCTCCCCCGCCCCAGGGCCCCAGGATGTCGGGCACAATTTTCGCTTCATTCAGGCCTCCCTTACTCAGGATTCCCGCGGTCAGGAATCCCGGCCTCGGCTCCATGGATGACCTGACGCTCCTGGACATCGGCTCCTCCTCCCTCCCCTCCCCCGGCGAGGACCATCATAGGCCTCTGCCCCTTCGGTGGTGACCATCGCTTTCTCCTCATATGTTTTAATCATGCGGGCACCTATTCTGCTCAGGGTAAAAGGCGGGTTCCGGCAGGCTGAACATTTTGATCAAGCCCCCGCTTCGGAAGAGACCCAGCACGTTACTCCCGCACAAAAGCAGAATAACAAAAGCAAATGCTCGTGAGAGCGAAGGGCGGGCAGCTGTCTGTTAGCCCGCTGGATGGAGCAGCCATGTCCTACTATGCGCTCGACGCGGATAAACGTCGGCGCACAGCACGGAGGCACCCAGGCGGCAAGGTCGGCGAGAGAACGCCCCGTGGTCGTGCAGTCGAAGCACAGCGCGCCTACCCAGAAGCGCGACCCTGCATGTCGCGTGCGTTCGGGGCACGGTGAAGGCGAACTCGAGTGCGCCAGGCAGCGCAGCCTCTAACGACACCCCACACGGTGGAAGACGCGCCCCACAGACGGCGGAGGTGCCAGCGAGATGGGAAGGAAGACGGGGGAGCGACACCACCCCCTCAGCAGCTGCCGTCATAGGGGCTGCTGGGGTCCCACTCCCATCGGTGCACCCATCCACCATGCCGTCAACAGGCGCCAGAGGGGGCCGCGGCCCTCCCTAAGGTCCCTCGGCCAGCGAAGACGGCCGTACGGAGGGGGTGAGGGGTGCCAACGTACCTCCACAACTCTGACCTGAATACATGAAGGCGCCAATTGCCACCATGAAATGTCGTTCTCCTCCCTCCCGTCCTCCTTTACAAAATCCCGAGCCCCGAAAGACATTGTTTGCTCTGGCCAGGTCTGCTCTTGCGTGGTCAAGGTCTGAATCCAATGCCAGGCGGTAACGCTTTCATATTAAACCAAACTGCGACGGGTATCCTGGCGTCCCCTTTTCACCATGTCCGACTCATTCTGACACTCACCCCTTCGGCCCCAATTGGCCTATCAAGCCGACGGGGACAGGTTTGCTATGCGAGCGAACTAAGCGAAACGAATGTGAAACCATCAACTCATAACAGATTAGGCGCAATACATCAAATATCAAGCACCATTAACTTCAGTGGGGAACGAATCGGTTAGACTGTGTAGTTCACCGAATACTGCAGTACCGTCTGAAGGCCGCAGGCAGTTTTTCAAGTGCCTCCATCACGAGACTTGGCGCGCGTGCACTCAGTCAAACGTGCGCCTCGTAACCCATTTCCAGGGCCGCTTCACAAAGTAAAACTACATTCGATCGTGCTTGGTACCCGCGCAGCACGTTAACATTGACAGGGGCGCATGTGCTTCGCTAGCGTTGCGCGGTTGGCGTCAACTCGTGCCTTCCTCTTCCGATGACCTGGCAAGCTTCGCTTCACGCGTGTGCTTGCGCGGGAGATGTACGCTACATACTTGGCCAGAGCGTCAGCCTGATTCTCGTCTGAATCCACCTTCACAAGCACGCTCTCGCCAGTCACCTGTGAAAACTTTATCCTGGATCCACAACTGCCATAGCTCGATACACCGTGCCCGGCCGGACCATATCCCGCGGGCGATCGCAACAACCACATGTCCGCCACACTTGCCACAGTACCGAGACATGTCAGAGCCGCTGTCGAATATGACAATACAGAACCTCCCTTGCCAGTCGAAGACACTCTGTTCCTCCTGATGATAACGATGCTAGAATCTGCGCTGAACTCCACGACCAGGCCGCAAGACCGGGAGGCCGTGACCCTGCCTGCACATGTGGCAGTCGGTCAGCACCCCGAAGGCTGGAAGGCTGGAAAGCTGGAAGGCTGGGGTGCGTCTCTGGGGAGGCCCTGGGAACGGGCGCACGGGGGGAAACCTCAGCACCACAGTACGAAAATGCCCGCGAAATTGACCCACGCCTCCGGGTCTGCAAGTCGAGGGTGCCACAGGATGGGGCCGCGGCGACGAAAAAACACAGTGGCACAAGCAATCGCTGCACCAAGAGCGGCTAAGCTGCGCAGGGTGAGGAGGGCAGAAGGGCGAGGTCAACCTCTTGGGCGCGGTCACCGAGGTATCGGCATTCCCTCCCGCTTCTGCTCCAGCATCCTTCTTCGCTGGTCGCGCAGCCGCCTACAGTGCCGTTCGTGCGCCGCCTGAGAGGGCCAACGACTCACCAGTGCTCCCCCCGTCGTCCAACGCCGAGCAGCCCTCCTCGCCTCCCCTGCCAGAGCAGCGCGACCCAGGTGGCCTGCGGGCACCGTCCTCCCAGGATAGGGCACGTACCCTGGACAAGCAGACACCGGCAGCGCACGCTCCGACTTGATCCGCTCGTTCGAGCGCACCCCATCCTCCCGCCTGGCGGGGCCGCGCCCAACTGGCGCCACGCCCAGAGTACGCACCAGCACTGCACCGGTCGAGGTGCGGGCCGAGTGCTTTGTCGGAGCGAGGGGCTCCGCCGAGGAATGCCGAGGACCACGCTCCGAATGCCCCGCTCGCGCCGCTCGCCTCGGGGACCTGCTGACCCGGGTCAATCCAGACCCGGGTCAGTCAAGCCTTGCAGAATCCTGCAGGATCCTCTGCACCCAAATCCGGGTCAGTGCGACCCTGACCCTACAGGATCCTGCAGGATCCTGCACCCAAACCAAGGTCAGCGCGACCCTAGCTCTGCCGGATCCTGCAAGATCTGGCGCTCTGGCTGACCCCCGTTTGCATTGACCCCCGCCCCTGGAGCCCCGATCGCCTCGAACGGGCGCCCTCCCGGCGGCGGCATCCTTGGCGACGGCCGTGCGGCGGCCACGCGCCTCCGCCAGCAGGGCGTACTTGTCCAGCAGCCGCGCCTCGAACTCGCCCTTGCGTCGCAGCTGCCTCCGCGACCAGAGCCGGGGCGGGGTGTGGGAGGGACCGTGGCGTGGCTGCGCCCACGTGGGGAGGAAGGGGCCGGGGAGAGGCAGAGCGGGCGGGGGGGGGGCAGGGGAAGAGGGGCCGGCAGAAGAGCAGGCAGGGGGAGAGGCAGAGGTGGTCGAAGGGGAGGAGGGGAGCAGGAGGGAGTGAAGCGGAGAAAGGGCGAGGGGCAAAAAGCTGCGGGAGGATGGAGTAGGCAAGGGGAAGGCTTCCGGCAGTGAAGAGGAGCGGCAAGGGCGGACCCCAAGCGCCTCCCCGCGACTGCACTGGAGTCGCTCCTCTCTTCTGGGGCGCAGACTGTCCGCACGTGCCCACCCTGGCCAAGCTTGGGGTGGACGAAAGGGAGGACACCAAAGGGCGGGGTCAGCGAATCAGCCGCATGCAGCTGCTTTCCCTGGCGCCTCCGGTGGCGGTGGGGCCGAAACTGACTGCGTGAAGAAGGTTGAGTACAGTCGACGCGCTGCCAGAAGGATGCGAAAAGGAACGAAACCCCTTTTTAGCACCACGAGCGCCTGGGTGCACGGGGAGGACTAGAAGAATAACCACGGAATGATCTGAAGAACAGCGCGCTCCTTCCGAACCCACAGCGATCATTTTTTCAGCGACTTGACTGTACCCCCCTCCCAGGCAGATCCACCTTACGCAACAGATCCTTCCCAACTAATCCTTTCCTTCCCAACCAATCATTCCCAACGAATCCTCCCAACAAATCCTTCCCAACAAACCATTCCCGTTCCATCAAACCAAATCCTTCCGAACAAACCATTTCCTTCCCAACAAATCCTTCCCGACATCAAATTTCCTTACAAATCATTTCGAACACCCAGGCAGGTCCACCTTTCCGACGAAGCCTCGGGGGAAAACAGCAAGTCCCGAGCCCCACGTTGGCCTGGCCAAGATCGGTGCCCGTGGATACACCGGGCCCAGTGCCGTGACTACGCCTGCTTTGATTTCTCATACCGCGGGATCTGTTCTCGGCAGCGGACGAGGGGGGGGGAAGTGAGAAGGAGAAAGCCTTCTCAGAAGGCGGCGGGGCCTCTCAGAAGCCCTCCGTCCTTCTGAAAAGTTTTCTGCGTTTTCGGGAAGGCTTTGGCTACTTCTCACAAGGCTCCTTCTGAGAAGGCCCGCCCCTTCTCACTTCCCCCTGGGCTCGCCGCCGCACTTCAGCCTTGAACGATCTCCTGAGCTCAGAGGTCCGAAGGGGCTCTCGATCGCACCTGTTGCTCCCCAAACCGTGCGTGCACCCAGGGCTTCTCGCTTTCCTTTCTGGGTGCCTGGGTCGGTGTGTCGGGGCTTCGCCCAGTGGGCGCCCGTGGGCGCTTCGTCGGCGCCTCGTGCGCCAGCTTGAACGACGCAGGTTCCTTCTCGCAGAGATTCGAACTCTACCCTCATGCCGAGGCCAGACGTACCCCCTCCCCATCGGTGCATTGGCTTCTCGTCTTCATCGTGCACGATCGTTGGCAGGTGTGCCTTGCCAGAAGCATTCAAGACCATTGCTTCTACAGTGCTGTCAAGACGTACACATCCAAAAATTGTTCCAAACCTCAGGGCTGTCGACAAGCAGTTGCCGGACGGCTTCGCACGCGCCCCCGGAAATCAGAACAACAACAAAAATAACTGTGTTTGGCCGTTCTGTCGAATGAGACCATGCGGGCCGCACGCACGCGCGGGCGTCGAAAACATCCAACAACCATCGCGCACCCGCACGCCGAAGAACTGTCCAAACCATTGGTACCCTAAGCAGTTCAGCACAGAGGTATTTAGAACATGAGAAAGCCCAGTGGATTTCAAATCGTAGGCATATTGAAAATTTCTGAACTTCTGCGCGCGCGTGCTTCTTCATCATCCTCATCAGCACCATCGTTATCAGCATCGCAAGCGTCACCATTGCCACCGTCATAACAATAAGTTTCATCACCATCACCATCGTGGTCATTCCCGCCGTCATCATCATCGTCATCGTCGTCATCGTCATCGTCGTTCTCGTCGAAGCCAGCACCATCTTTATCATCATCGCCAGCGTCACCATTACCACCGTCATCACCATCGTCTTCATCACCATCACCTGCGTCGGTGCCAACGTCATCAACATCATAAGCGTCATTGTCATCGTCGTCGTCGTTGTCGTCGCCCACATCAGCAGCGCCACACCAAGATGGCACGTCCAATCCTGCAGCACACCTTGCACCCCAAAGCTTGCACCGCATAGCTTGCCTCACAAGGAGTGCACCACATAGCTTGCACCCTAATGAGTACACGACATGCTGGGCCACAAAGATTGCACATCATGGCACGCACGAGACAGCACAAACCACGAAGCAAACATAGCTTGCACCACAACTGTTGCACCGCATAGGGTGCACTACATGGACTGCACCACAGTAGCTGCACCACATAGTTTGTGTCACATAAATCGCACCACATAGCATACACTACAAAGATTGCACTACACAGCTGGAGCCACAAGGAATGCACCACATAGGGTGATATGCATAGCTTGCACCACATATCAAATCCAGGGTTGCCCCTTTCCCCCCCCCCATGGGTATGGGGCAGCCCCTCCCCCAAATCCGTTTCCCGCCCTTGTGAATATGATTTTGTGTGACGAGTTGTGGTATGACAGTTCGTGCCCGTGCGTGCGTGACGTGCACATCTCCACCTCATGCCGCCCCCACCCTGTTGGGCTTGGGCCGCTTTTGCGCTCACAATTTGGCTTGGCCGCGGCCTGCCAGTAGCTCTCTCTGCCACTGCTCGCTGTGGTATGCGCCACGGACGCCCGACCGCCTTTCGCCGTTCATTCCCCGCTCTCCCCCTCCCCGTCCTTCCCTGATCGTGCCAGCTGTTGACGTCTTCCCGTCCGCGCCTACCGTTTCGTGCACCGCCTGGATTTTCTGCTTTGGTGCCCGCCTACATGTGGTCGTCTTCGGGCGTTTCCAGAACTGCCTGCCGCGCCGTCTCTTCACACGGAAATGACCTTGCTTTGAAAGGCGACCCCCCATCGTGCGCCCGCTGGTTGGACCCAGTGGCGCATCGGAAAAACGCGCGTGCGCGTCTCCCCGCCCCCCGTGGGTGTCGTGTGATGTGCTGTGCTGTGGTGGTTGAGACCATCCGTGCGCGCGCGCGTGCGTGCCCGCAGCTCTAAGCAATTCGCTTGCACACTGGGTGATCTGGGTCTCCCGTGTCCTTCGGTGTTTCATCCACAATGGCGGGTGCAACAAACTGGAACGCAGCCCCTACATGCTCTGCGCGACAATGACGTCACTTCGCTGGCTGGAAAAAATGTGTGCGTACCTGCGCGTTTGCTCAGTTATCCCATGTTATGTCCGCGTGTGTTTTTCCCATACCCTGGGCTCAAGCGCTTGGGCTCTGGCTGCTCTGGCTCGAGGGGGCCGGAGCGGCGCCAGCGCGGGGCTGGAGACTGCCCCTTGCCTCCAGTTGGGCCGGGGGGCATGGGAAGGAGCCTCGCTCCTCCATGGGGAATGCCACGGCGCCGCGGCGGCGCCAGCGGCTGGCCGCCGCCCGTGCCGTCGGTCCTGCGCGCGCCGCGGCCGCCAGCGCCGACGGCGCCGCCGGTGCCTGCTGGCCCGCGACCCACGCCGCCTGGGCCGCCGGCGCCGGCTCTGCGGTCACCTGGGCCGCTGGCGCCGATGGTGCCCATGCGAGTGCCTCCAGCGCCGCTGGCATCGCCGTCGCCGCTGATTTTGTGGGGCCGCTGCGGGCGCCGCCAAAGCCGCGGGCGCTGCTGGCGCCGCCAATGCTCTCGCTGCGGCCGTCGCGGGCGGCGCGGTCGACGCCGGCACCGCAGGCGCTCGGGCGCCACGGGCGCCGCTGGTGCGCTCGCCACGGGCGCCGCTGGCGCCGCTGGTGCTGTGGACGCTGCTGGTGTCGACGGGGCAGCAGGCGACGTCGGCGCCGCGGGCGCCGCTGGCCCTGGGGGTCAGCCTGGACCTCCAGGCGCCGCGGGCGCCGCGGGTGCTGCCTGGGCTGCCGCGACTAACCACTTCGGCCTTGAGGTGCCCACGCCCAGAGACGCCGCGGAGACGCAGGAGAAGTCGGCTGCAGAGATCGCGAACTATCGTTTTGCCGAACGATCGTTTGGCCACGGCGGGACTACGAGTATTGGACGGGTGTTTGCATATGTACATGTTGCGCGTGCGTATTTGCGCGGGCGTTGTTTTGCGCGGGCGTGTGACTTCTGATGTGTTAGAGAATCCAGTATGCAGTGTATCGCGATTACTAAAGACAGGGCGACCAGTGTGCTGTGTTTGGGCTGGGAGTCTTGGTGCTCCAGTGGCGTCTGCGGTGTGGTGCTGTGCGGTGCTGTGATCCCCTTGTCTGAACGTGAGGTGTCTCTGGTGTCGAGGGGCGCGCCCGTAGTCCTTACCGGCCTCCGCCCCGCTCCCGGGGCCGGGGTGCAGGGTGTGGCCGCCCATCACACCGGCGCGTCCATAGACCGCCGAGTCGGACGGGAGCATCTCGCGCCCTCTGTGCGTGCGTTGTGCTGTACGGCCCGTGAGTGCCCAAGGGCAACCTTCCGAGGGCGCCCGAGGGTGATTGGTGTACAGTGTGTCATGGCAATGGGCTGGCGCTCCGGGGCGGCCAACCCCACGGCGGGAAAGCAATTGTTGGAGGGTGAAAATGGGGGTCGGGCGCAGGGTCCCCGCAATGATGTTTTTGAAGGCCATGAATGGGCGATACATCCTCGATTGCTGTGTTCGGTGGGGGAACTAATTGAAGCCCCCCACCTGCACCCGCGCGCGAGACTTGAGGGGGAAGGAAGCAAGGGGGCGGGGGGCTCGGGAAAGGCGACGAAGGCAACGTGCGCTAAGGGCGCAAAAAGAAAAGGCTGGAACACACGAAAGCGGTCAGGTGAGTGTCGAAATCTGCCCAGCCAATCTGACATGCAGAACACTGCGCCTCAGTTTTGGGGATCTTGAAGGCCAGGGCAAAATGTGAATTCACATTGTGGGGAAAAGCAAAATGTGAATTCACATTTGGGGAAAAAGGAAAATGTGAATTCACATTTTGGGAAAAGGAAAATGTGAATTCACATTTTGGAATTTTGTGTAGGATTCTGTATGAAGGGGCCAGAATGTGAATTCACATGTTGGGAAAAAGGAAAATGTGAATTCACATTTTGGGAAAAAGGAAAATGTGAATTCACATTTTGGGAGAATCGCGGGGCCCATTCCAAATCTGTCTTGGGGGTCGAGAAGTCATCGTTTGGGAACATGCGCGATCATCAACCGCACAATCAAGACACACTTGCACTCCACTTCGCCGACCCACACGCAATATGCAAGAACGCCCGCACGCATGAACGATAATGGATGGACGGCGCGTGTGCCCGCGCGGGCAACGCGCGGGCACGAATGACTGGCCATCAATGACCGCCAGCATTGGATGCCAATCGTACCCGATCACAGACATGAACGATACATTGAGCATACATGGGCCATTCAGCCCCCATTGAAGACCCCCTGTTGCAGACCCCCTCTTTCACCCTCCAAAATCGGGTTCCCCTCGGCCCGGTTGCCTTTTCACGTCGCCCCACGTGTACCTGCGTTCCGGGGTGGCGTGGAGCTGCACCCCCCTGCTCGGGGGCTCGGCTTCGATCTTGCAGGCCTCCCACACCACAACGTGTAGGCTTCCTCTCGCGCGGGGGCGGGCGGGCACGGCTCGCTGCCATGCACGTGCTGGGGCGGTTCGGATTCCTTTGGAGTCCACCCCAGCACGGCGGGCAGCGTGAGACTGACTTCCGCCTGATCAACGGAGGTCGGGTGGCTTGGGGTACGCGTTGTGGTCCGGGCTCGGCGTTGATCCTAAGGTGTCTCCTACTGTTGTTGCGTCGGTGCACATAACCAAGTTGGGGTCTCCCGACCTTTTCGTGTATCGGGCTGGTGAGTTGGGGAGGGAGGTGGGGGCATGGGGGCGGGAGGGGAAGATCCAAGGTCAAGCGGCGCGGGGGCCACTTGTCAGCCGGGTCGTCGTCGCCCGTCGGGTCACCCTATTTTGCGCTGGGAGGTAGCCTTGTACTGCCTCCTTAGGGTGGGGGGACTTGTACCCCTGACGACGGGGGGGGCTTGCACCCCTTTCCTGGCCGACGGGTGCGCCTGCCGTGCTGTTGCGGGAAGAGCCACGAGGGGGGTAGGCTTTAACGCAAGGGCGGCACACGGTTGTCGATGGTGTCTGGCAGGATGGGGGCCTCGGGCTTTTGCGCGTGTCTCGTACGTGTTTCTGGTCTCTGAGTCTGCGTGTGCACGTGTATCAGAGAGTCCACTACACATTTGGTATCAGAGTGTGCGTCTTGCGCGTGTGTCGTATGGGTGCATGTGCATGGACACATGTGTTTCTATGTCTTTAATGCGCCAATACTCGAATTCCCGGGTGTGCTTCTATCATCGGCATGTTCTTCCAGGACGGGTGTCACAAGGTTTGAGATCCCGATGATGTGCCATCATTCCCAGTATGGGCTTCTGGCCATTAATGGGGCCCTCCGCACCCGATCCCTCCTCGTCGCCCTCTCTCCCCCTCTCATCTCTCCTGCTCTGGGGCGTTTGGGGGGGTCCGCCGCGGGGGGGCAGGGGATCGGGCTCCCCCTTGCACCTCTCCCGGTGCGGGGTCCCCGCCCCTGCCTTGTCGCGGCGTACTTCACCCCTCCGGGGGGTCGGGGGCCGGGGTCCTGGTTCCGCGGGGGAGACGGAGGGCGGCCTAGGAGGCCTGCATCCCTCCCGTAGTGGCAGTGGCAGTGGCACGATGGCCAGCATTGGATACGGGGCGACGGGCTGACTGGCTCCGCTTGGGTCGACGGGCCAGACTACGCCAGATCCCTGCTGCGTGTTTTCGAGGGAGAGCTCAGCGTTCAGGACCCCTTGGACGTGGGACCCTGCCTTGGTTCCATGGGATGGAAGCGTAGTGAAATTCGCCAACTTCGCAAAAAGACGTCTGGCAGAGCTATAACACGGACGCGCCAACATGCTGGTGACATGGGTCACATCACGCCCGAGATCATCAGCGACGACGTCTCGTCCATGGTTCCCGCTGCGGACTGGATGCAGATCGTAGCGTACGGCGCGTTCTGCGAGCTGTTCCTGGAACAGTCCGCTGACACCGCTGCCACGGCAGACGACCTCGGCTTCAAGGTGCTCACGTCCATCCAATGACACCTCAGAGAAGGCATAAGAAGCTGGCGGTAGAGATCGCCAATAATCTCCTCGCCATGACGGCTATCATCGCAAGGGTTTTCCGCGACGGCTTTAATGGCCCTCCCTTAGGCGATCAGGCTCTCTACACCGGATCCCCGCCGCAGCTGGGCTTTCAGGAGTTCTGGGACCCTGCTGGGCCCGCAGCGGATGATGGCACAGACAAGTACGCCAGGAGGCTCCCGACTGATCCTCGGTTCGTGCTGGGCTCTCGGCCAGGGCGGGAAGGCACCACTCGACAGTCACTGTGCCAGGGGGCGGTTGACGTCTCCGAACGTCTCCCCTGGTCACGCACTGATCGTTAGCCGGGCTGGACCTAAACGGTGTTTTCCGTTTTGTGTTTCGTTTTGCTCTACCTGTTTTCCTGCACGTCCCTGCCAAAACGAAAAACAAGACACAGCCGAAGTCCAGCAAAACAGCGTTTAGGTCCAGCTCTGATCGTTGGCACGGGGGGGCGCCTGACCACCGTGTCCCAGTGGAGCGTTCTGGGACCATGCTCTCTATCGGGTCTCGTTGCGGGTCCTGAGGTGTCGACCTGACGAGTCTGGGACAGGCAGTCAGGAACGCCAGGGAAAACCGCGCTGTTGGGTATGCTGTTTTCTCGGGATGGGTGGGAAGCTCTGGCGGGGTCGGGCGTGCCTCCGTAATCGGGCTGCGAGATGTGTGTGTGTGTGTGCGTGTGCCAGCGCTCTCGCTTGGTCGCCAGTGCTGCATTCGCCTTCGGGCCATCCAATGCGCAGGGGTCTTGTCTCGACCTGTGCCTCCTTGAGTGTGGGTATTGTACCCTGCAGGGTCTCCCTGGGATCTTTAGGGCCTGCCACGCGGCCTCACACAAGGGGGTTCGTTCAGTTTGTGCGTGGCCCGCCTGCTGTGAACTGTCGACTGGAGCGAGCCCATCGACGCGTCTGGAGGAAAAGTATGTGCGTGTGCGTGTGTGCGTGTGTGGACGGCGTGTCTCCAGCGGGCGGGCGCACTCGCGTAGTCATCGGGGGAGGAGCCGCCGTCGTCGCCGTTGTCGTCGTCGTCGTCGTCGTCATCATCGTCGTCGTTTTCGCCGTCGTCGTCGTCGTCGCTTTCGCTTTCGCCCTCCATCCCATCTTGGGGGGGGGACGTTTGAACCTGGGGACCCATCCCATCAGGGGCGGAGGGGAGCGGGAACTCGGAAGCCTGGATCACATGTCGCACATCCAGAGTGCAAGAACTCACTGTTCCGGGCCCACGCTGGCCAAACATGCGGCTTTCGCGCCGCGAGCCCTTGCCTGCGGCAGAAGTGGGGCCCCCAGACGATGCTCAACCTGGCACGCCAGCGCCAGCGTCGTCGCCGCGTCGAGGTTGCGAGAACCTGCTGTAGTTGGCGTCCCTCGCCCCTCCTCTCCCGCACTCCTCTCGGCCAGACCGGAGGCTGCCACCCCGCCTCCACAGCTCGGCCTCCTCCTGCTCGAGCTGACCCAGCGCCAAGTTGCGCGCCAGGGCCGCCCTGTCCTCCACGGCCTCAGAGGCACGAACCCGCGGGCTCGTGGGAAAGCGCCGCCTGGAAATGCCCCCGGCAAGCCGAAACCACACGCGCGAGAGCAAGCAAACTTTTCCAGACTGACTCGGAGAGACGAAGGCACCGAGGGCCAAGAACAAACTGACGACACGGGCATGGTCTGCTCGCGGCTCTCCGACCCTATCCGTCTCGGGAACATATCTTTTCGCATGGACAATACAGAGCTAGGCGCACGGGTGTGAGCGACCTCGTGGTAGAGACAAACTGGGGCGATGTAGTGGAAATGCAGGAGATCCTCGCTGAAACGAAAGCTGCAAGATTAAAACATATAGTTGAGGACTGGTCAGACTAAGCCAAGCGCCACCACATGCGGCTTCGAGAATGCTGTGAGCGTCTTTTTTATCACCAAAAAAGCGACTAGCTGTAGATGTAATGAAGAAGTTTGATGGCATTTAGTATACGGAAAACTGGGAAGGACGAAGAGGAGGAGACCGATGAGGAGCTACGAGAATACAGGGGCACCGCCAAAGACTCGGGGATAATCGGAGAACCATCTTGCGATTGAGCCGACAGAGTGGTCAGTGCCACCTGTCTCTGCGGGATAATAAATGGTCGGGCGACCCTCACAAGGACAGGCGGAGGTGGGACTATGTTGAGGGCTTTGTGGTGCACCTCCCCCAAGGGAGGGGACTGGGCGATGGTTGGGCTGGACTCATCCCCTCCTCCTTTCCTCTTCTTCCTTTCCCTCTTCTCTTCCCCTGGGGATCCCAGTCCCGCCGTAGCGCACTCCCCGCTGGGGTCGCAGGCCAATGGCTTTTTCTGGCGCCGTGGTGGCGCCTAGGCGAACGTCTATTGCTTATGTCGACGGTTTTTGGAGCCCCATCTGTGCCGGCCCAGCGTGTACCGTTTGTTTTGATGGTTTCTTGAGCCTCGTGTGTGCGTCTTTCTCGGCTCCGCCCTACGCTCCTCGCCAGAGCTGCTTAGGAGTGAGCGCGAAACGCATGTTCTGCCTGGGACTCGCTCCGGTTTGCCTGACTTCGCGGCATCGCTGCACGCGCTGCTGGGACGCCGAAAACCTCTTATTCTCGATGGGGGGTCATTCCCCCAGTGTCGATAGTCGCTTCCCCTGTCCTTTATATCTGCGTTCTGGGGGGAGGAGGAGGAGGAGGAGGAGGAGGAGGAGGAGGAGGAGGAGGAGGAGGAGGAGGAGGGGACATCAGGGAGGAGAGGAGGGGGGGGGGGGGGGGAGCGGGGCACCCATCGACGGTCGAGCTCATTGGCCGCAGCACTCCCCCGATTGCCAAGATTGTGCACGTTCCGAACTGAATCTCCTCATCCTCCTCCCCCTCCCTCCTCCTCCTCCTCCTCCTCCTCCTCCTCCTCTCCTCCTCCTCCTCCTCCTCCTCCTCCTCCTCCTCCTCCTCCTCCCCCCCCCTCCTCCTCCTCCTCCTCCTCCTCCTCCGACTCCCTCCTCCTCCTCCTCCTTTTCCTTCTCCTCCTCCTCCTCCTCCTCCTCCTCCTCCTCCTCATCCTCCTCCCTATCCTTCGCTGGGGCAATGTCGTTCCGAAGCTGGGCGAGGGCTGGCAAATCCGTGGCTGCTAAAACGGTCTTCCCGGAAGAAAAAAACCTATTCCCATAATAAAACTCAGCGCACTGAGTAGTAAACAGGCTGCTTCCCAGAAGGAGATAAACAATTACCTGGAGCTCCGCTTTAGCAGCCACGGGTTTGCCATCCTTCGCCCAGCTTCTGAGTCGTGATGGCATCCTGCAGGAGATGCTAGACAGGAGAAGCACCAACTGTCTCGGAGACGTAGTTCTTTATCGTGCCAGCACGCAGTGCATACTGTATGAGTCTCGATGATGATGCTGCACGCGCAACCACGCATTGCAGCGAAGAGAGAGAGTGACCTGGGCACTCATGCACGCAACACTTCCAGCGACGCAATGAAATTGCAAAAACAACTGTCTTACTCTTTCACATAAGCCGATATGGTTGGTCTGAATTTGGGGGTAGGCATATTGAAAACCCCGAGCCGCCCCCAGCAGGCGAAGCCGCAACTTCACCTCAGGGGCCATCCTAGCACCCAACAAGCCGCTTCATGCCCGCGTGAAAGAGGCATGCAAACCCTCTTGGATCACGCCCGCGCCCAAACGCACGCTTGAGATGTCGGGATGTCGTCGACGGCCCTACACACTTCGTTGAAAGCTCGAACGACAACCCATGAGCGCTACCTCGGATGCCAAAAGCATGGTAGCACAACATGTTTCAATAGCGCTTCCCGCCCCCCAACCTGGGCTAAGACGGCGTTCCCCAAGAAGATAGCCTCCAAACCCACCTGGAACAATTCAGGACGACGAATGAATCTCCAGAAAATTATCCGAGGCTCTCCCGAAACCCTGACTGGCGCCCAAGGCAACCCAGGTACGACCTTCACAGGCCACAAACACTGTTGTCCATCAGAGGCTGGAAACGTGCAACTCTATGAGACACTGTGCCTCCATTTCGCGCGGGAGCGGTGGCTATTAGGGCATCCTCCTGCTCCTGCTGCTCTTGCTGCTCCTGCTCTGAGAGGGCGATGGGGGGTGCAGTGATACGGTGTCGCGGTGTCGCGGTGTCGCGGCGTGGCGGTGTGGCGGTGTGGCGGTGTGGCGGCGTGGCAGTGGTGTCGTGCCTTCGTTTCATGGTGTCGCAGTCTGAACGGGACAAGTTGCCGCGGTGTCGCGGTGCCGCGGTGTCACACGTCGCCGTGCGGTGCAGGGGGTGCTGCTGTACAAACACATGTTGAATCGATCGCGAAATAATTGCCATTATAGTCCTGCATCAAATTTGAATTAAGTCCGAATATGTTGCGAGCACGCCTGATCTATACAGAAAGTGCGAGTCGAGTGCGGACCTACTGTGAATAGATCGTCGCACTGTCGCGGCGACACAGCGCCGCGGCGCAAAGGTGGCGGTACACTGTGGTGCCGTGGTAACACGTAATCACGGCGCCGCCGTGTCGTGGTGTCGCGGTGTGGCGGGGATACGAAATCGTCGTGCCACGGTTTCACGATCACGCCGTGTTCAATCGTATGTGAATCGGTGGTGGCTGCGCATCGAATACGCAACGATCGAACATTGCGCATAAGGTGTGACTTAATTGTGAGTCAAGCGTAGCCATGTTGCAACCGAACTGTGAAACTAAGTTGAGCAAGAATTAAGTCAACTACAAGACGGCTAGATGGCAACTGTGATTCAATGGTGAATCCAAGTGCACATGGTGCCACTGTGGTGTGAGACATGTTGTAAAGAAAGAATGGGCCAATTGTCAGAGAAACCTGAGCATGTGCGAAGCAAATTTATACCAAATCCGAATCATGTGCAGATCGATATCGAATCGTTTGAGAGCCGGTTCTGGATCGGGAATGAGATGTTCGTGAATCACTGGCGACCTGACTACGTACGCCTGAAGTAATGACTGTCGCACTCCGGAACCTCATATGCACTGAAGGCTTAGTGCATTGACCATGCGCACGTGGAGCAATTCCCAACCCCAACCTCTTTTATTGTCTGCATGCCCTTGTACTCGTGTGATTGACAGCATCCTCTGGAGAAACTTGTTCGCAGGACGTCCTGCTCCGTCTCCTTGAATTGGGTGGCAATCTGCACTGAAAGAAAATGCACTGGGCCAGACAGACACGATGGGCGTTTCCCGTGAAGGGTGCCTTTTAGCGTCTCCTACGGGCGATTCCTTGGAGTGGCTCCTTTTTGTAATGCTCATAAGCACCCCATATGGACGATTCGTGTGAAGGGTGTCAGGAGGAGGCCGTCGGCCTGGAAGAACCTCCTCCACGGCCTCCGCACTCCTCTTCCATCAATCAGCGATTCCCAGCCTCTACCCCACCCATGCGTCCACCATGGTCAAACCCGTTACTATCTCCCTGGGCTGATCGAATCCATTGACGCCCGGCTTCATTCCCAAAGCTAACGCGTGCACATCAAGAGATTACGGGGCCAGAATGTACCTCATTCGTTCGATCTCGCGCGCACTCCCGAACCCGACGACGATCCTGACAGTCAGTCCCATGGGCAACGCGCACGAGCTCCCTCCGCTACACACCGAAATCGGGCGCGAGGAAAGCCGCTCTTCTTGGATAACTACTCGAGGGGGGTGGAAGGGCACGCGGCACTGCCAACACCACTCGAGCACGCAATTCTTCAGCAAACATGCCAGCCCGAAAAACACGCGTCCTTTCTGCGGCGACGGCGGCGAGAGCGGCGCGGGCGGATCCCACGGAACGCTGCCGCGCACGCCGCCACCTCCGCGGGCGCACTCCGCCAACTTCCCGCAGACCCGCCCCGCTCGGCCCCCGTCGACAGCGCGAGGGCGGGGCGGCGGCGGAAGGACGCTGGCTGTGAGAGGCCTCCTCTCACACCATACCACGGACGCGGGCCACCAGCAACAGACCCACGTATGACGTGTGTCGCATCACATCAGAATTCATTGTGGCCGTCTCGTCGAGCCCTCTGGCCTGCGCTGTCTCTGAGGGGGTGGACGGGTTTTACCGATCGGCACTGTCGTTCTCTCTGACGGAGGTTTCAAGCCATGCCTCGTACATTGAGGCAATCGTGACTGAATCAATCGTCATGAAAACCGGCATGTTAGCGCAAGCCCACACAGAAAGTCAACCGAGCTGTAAATCTAGTGGCGTATAGCCCACCTTTTTAGTGTCCCCTCCTCCTACTCGTCTTTCTTCTCCAGCTCTTCCTCCTGGTCCAAATCGCGTAACCATCACCCGAAACGGGAGGCCTTGTCAACAGAACGCTCACAGCAGAACAAAACAAAACTTTCGAAGAACCTGAATCCAAGGGCAGTCGCATATCCCAGTGTGCGCATCAGAAGATTGAGCTGAAAGGCTGGAACCGAATCAGGATAAGAGGAAGAAGGATAAGGAAAAAGCGGAAGAGGAGGAGGAGGAGGAGCAAGGAGATGAAGAGAACGATAGTGAGGATAGAGGAAGCAAAAGGCGGGCAAAAAAGAGGAGGACGAAGTGAGGAGGGAGTAGGCGGAGGGCGAGAAATAAGGCGGCACATGGACAGATACATGCTCTACCTATCAATACACACATATCCCCGTTCCTAAATGTTTGCAATCTTGGGGGTGGGAACCCCCCCTCAACAAAAAAAACGGAACCCCCGGATGGATCCGTGGCCCGAGGGGCGCCCTGGACGCCCTGCAAAAGGTCCCTCGGGCTTCCTGGGGCTCCTGGAAGCCCCTGCTGGGCCTCGGCAAAGGGCCCAAATCGGTCAGGAGGGCGGCCGAACAGCCCCGCGAGAGCCCCAAGAGGCCCCCGACACCCACCAGACGCCCAAAGACGGCCCAAAGAGAACCCTCAAGAGGCCTTCGAAGCGCCCCAAAAAATGAGTTCCAATGGTCCTTGCATGACTTGGAGAATGGTCTGTTCTTCGGCCTTCCAGGCGTCCGAGACCACCCGTGAAGCCAGAAAATCGTCCCACAACTACGCCCCAAGACTGCCCAACAAGGCCCCAAGATGGCCCGAAAAGAGCCCCATGACGGCCCAAGATGGCCCCAAGACGCCCCCCGAAGCATTCCAAATCTTCACCAGGCCGTTCAGGGAGACAGCGGTTGGAAGCAGGGTGGCCCGAGGAAGCCCCCAGAGGCTCCCAGAAGGAACCACTGAGGCCTCAAGAAGGGCCCAAGAAGCCCTTAAACACAGTCGTGAGGCCCTCAAGAGGCTCTCCAAGGAGGAGACTCCGCAAAAAGAGTCGCAGGGTAGGGCGAAAATGTGGAAAAGGAATAGGAGACCTGAGGGAAGAATAGAGAAGTGCCCATACTTACAGGCCGTCCTAACCAGTGAGGCCCAGGGAGTCCGGAAAGCGTCAGCCTACGAGCAACGACGATGTCGGAAAAGGCAGCGAGGAAGTATCGCTAAATTGTCAATTTTACCTTCCTGCCCTTACGCCTGCATTCCAAACATCAAGGACCAAGGTGCACGGCGCGAAGCGCCAATGCAGTCTTGTACATATCCGCCACCGTGCCGCTGGGCACGGAGCAGGCGTGTCCTCAGGTCCTTTCGCATAATTTCATAAGCACTCCTGAGGAGTCTTGGAGCGACCCGAAGCCCAAATTGCGTGGGCCTTGTCGCGTCCTCTCGCCTGACCTTATCGGGCCCAAGAGGGCCCCTAAGACGAGCCAAGAGGACTCCAAGAGGCCCCCAAGACGTCACAAGAACGCCACGAGACGCCCAATGATCGCTTCAAGGCGCCCAAAACGGCCTCAAGATGGCCCAAGAGGCCTCCAAGACACCCCAGGAGGTCCCCAAGAGGCCTCCCAAGAGGTCCCCCAAATGCGCAAAGATCATTGATTTCCTGCTTTCTGACGCCCCAAGACTGCCCAAAGAGGCCCCCAAGACCACCCCAAGACGGCCCAAGAGGCCTCCAAGAGGACCCCAAGACGGCGTACGAGCACCCCAAGACGGCCCAAGAGCCGCCCAAGACGGCCCAAGAGGGTCCCAAGACGGCCCCTAAAGGGGTCCAAGAGAGGGAACACGAACCGAAGATCCGAGCCTTCCGCCCCAAGAGGCTCCCAGGAGGCCCCAAGAAGCGCCCAAGAGGCCCCCAAGAGGCCCCCAAGAGGCCCCCAAGAGGCCCAAAAAGCGGCCCTCAGAGGCCCCGAAACTGTCCCCAAGAGGCTTCAAAACTGCCTCCAAAAGCCCCCGAGAAGCCTCCCACGAGATCCCAACGAACATCCCATGGCTGCATACCCCCAACCCAGAGATGGTGGCGGGATGGGCAGAAGGCCATTGTAATATATATATATATATATATATATATATGTATATACACACATATATATATATATATATATATATCCGCCTCCCCCTGTTGATTCATCACAGGGGTGCCTGGCGTGCTGAATCCTTTCGCTTTTGGTTTTGGTTCTTTTCCCACAAGAGCTCTCCCTGGGGCTTCGGCCCGTCCCGCCGGCCACCCGAAAGGGACACGACCGCAAAAAAATCCTCCCAGACGGCTCCAGATGGCCTCCAAGATGGCCACGTTGGCCCAAGATGGCCTCCAGGATGGCCCAAGATAGCCTCCAAGTCCGCCAAAGATGGTCCAAGATGACCTCCAAGACGGCCCGAAATAGTCCACGATGCCTTCAAGTTCGTCCAAGAAGCCTCCGAGACGGCCCAAGTTGGCTCCAAGATGGCCTAAGACTGGCCAAGAAGCCCCCAAGAGGCCTCCAAGACGTCCTCCAGGAAGGCCCGAAAGGGCAAAAATTATTGATGTTCCTTGAGTGTTTGAAGGACTGTGGCATGCTCTTCTTATCAGCTCTCGGACGGCCCAAGACGGCCCAAGAGGCCCCCAACGTCGCCCCAAGAGCGCCCAAGAGGCCTCCAAGATGGCCCCATGACAGCCCAAGAGGCCCCCAAGGTGGCCCCGAAGACGCCAAAGATGGCCTCCAAGACGGCCAAGATGACCTCCAAAATGCCTCCAAGACGGCCAAGAAGGCCTCCAAGACAGTGAAGATGCCTCAAGATGCACCCAAGACGGCCCCAGATGGCCTCAAGTTGGACTTAGACTGCCCAAAAGGCCAGCAAGAGGTCTCCAAGACGGCCCAAGAGCCCTCCAAGACGTCCTCCAGGAAACCTGAAAGCTCGGACACCGCCTGGTCCGATAGCTCGCCCGACTCCGTGCTCCCCGAAAGCTTTCAAAACCCACTCGGGGAACGCGTGGCCCGATAGCTTGGCCAAGCTCAACCCCAACTTTCGGCCACGCAGGCGCTTCCATAAAGGCAGGGGGCGGCGGGGGTTCGCCGATCGTCTTCGATGGATGCGTTTATACACACACACATATACGTGTCTATCTATACATACATACAAGCAGACATACATACATACATGCATGCATGCATGCATACATGCATACATGCATACATACATGTGCACATACATACATACATACATACATACATACATACATGCATACATGCATGCATGCATACATACATACGTACATGCACGTGTATGCATATATATAGGTGTATGTATATAGACATACATATACACATGCGTAAGTATACACACAGCTACACATGTACGTATACACACATATATACAATTACATGCACACATACATATACACATGGGTTACAAATATTACATGAACATATACATTTACATATGCATGTACAGCTATGATCACATGTACATTTACACCGATATGTACTATACATTCACAGATACAGAGGCAAATACATATGTATATACATATACATATGCGTACACGTATACATGTTCATACACGTACACATATACATGTACATGTACCTTTACATTTACATGTACACAAACATATGAATATGCATACACAAGTCGAAGGACTTTATATATATATATATGTATATACACGCATGCATACGCATACACATATACAATTTCGTAGATTCACACACATACATATACACATGCACAAACCTATACACATGCACAGGCAAATACTGTTATATGTACATAGGCGTATACATATACACGTATATATACATATACATATACGTTTACTTGTACAGATATGTGTGCACCTACACAAACAGGTGAATGTATAAATATACCTGCATAGGCATGCACATATACATATAGATATGCATAAACAAGCGCATGCCCATATACATATACATGTACAGATACATGTACAGATGCAGATACATGCACGTAAACATAGATGTATCAACAAATACATATATACACATAAACTAACGTCTACGAATACGTATACATATTCATATACGTACATTATACATTAACATACACAAATACAGATACGCATATATGCTCATGTACATATATATACCTTATGTCTATACATGCATATGTATGTTTCTATAAATGTATATATGTGTGCATGTGTGTATGTGTGTGACATGAGTCTACACATGACTTAAAACCATACCTACATGTAAACAAAGACCACAGGATGGCCTATTCAGTTCATGCTCATTCACCAAGTCGTATGCTCGAGGAGCTTTGCATTCCATCTCCTCCTAATCATCATCACCATCGGCGCTGGGTTAGAAGCTCTGCCGTTCATGGAAATGGTCACAAGCAATTCCAATATACCATCAACCCAACCGTGCATGGTTTGCAAGCGTACTCAACCATAGTTTAAAGCGGTTATGGTCCACGTGTGGATGCTGCTATGGCTCGGTTTAACTAGCACATCTTGAACAGAGAAAAAGCAGAGGAGATCCAACAAGAGCGCAACGTCCACGACCAGACGGGCAGAATCTCCAAAAGCACGCC